CTCAGACAGAGAGACAGGGCACCAGCGCTTTCGGAAAGAAAGCTTATTAAGCAAGCCGGCAGTGACTCAGTGGATTCGCATCCAAAGGCTAAGCCCCAACAACAAAGGGGGCTCTCCCTATATACCATTTAGAGCAAGTTACAGAAATGGGAGGGTACAGCTTGTCCCATACATGGTCACATGCTATTTCATTGGCCATTTTAACCTCTTGGGCAAGGTGACTACTCTCTGGTCTCACCACATTCCTCAAATCTGGTTTTTGTTGTTGTTGTTGTTCAACTGTTACACTCATTAACCATCATTATCTCCCTTCCCCCTCCCTGCCTTCCTGCCATACTACCAATGCCACCTCTGCTAATTTTACTAAGCCTGTTTATTACATTACTGCTACAATACCAACCTTATAACAATGTAAAATTTATCAGCTCCCATCCTTTTTCCATCAGTATTAGAATACTCCAAAATTGCCAACGTTTTTAAACATTATCTACATCTACTTTGGCGAATAGTTGAAATAGTTTGGTTAAAAGTTAGTAATTTAAAATACTTCTTGAGTTCCTACTATATGCTAGGCACTTTGCACTCAAGATCTATCAATAAATGAAACAGGTAGAATCTTCAGCCTTTCAGAGCTTCACTTCACGGTGTAGAAACAAACATGTAAGTGGTCAGTTACACCACAGGAAATAAGAGCTATAACAAAGTAAAAGTCTAGTCTGGACAACTAGAAAAGAAACAGGAACAGAAGGGCGTGGGGTGGTGTGAGGAAGAGCCTGCAATTATCCAGGCATAAGAGGAAAGTGGGTATTCCACATACAGATAGAGCACATATCAAGGAGGAGGCGGGATCTAGGGAAAGAAGCAGCATGAGATCAAGCTCAGGTCTACGTCCAGTAAAACGGGAAGGAACTGGCAGCACAGCTGTGACCCAATGGACTGTACTAGCATTAATGAAGGAAAAATCTAAAAATGACATTTTCCCAGTAGTATTGGTGCTAGTGGTGCTAGAAGAGGAAGAAAGGAAGACATCACTGTAACTCAACTTCCCACCTCCATTCATCTCTGCTAAAGATCACTAGCCAGAGCCCAGAGGCTATCACAGGATGCTCTGAAGTCAGCCACTACCCCTAAAGCTTAACCCACTCTCTGCTCAAGAGTGATACACATCGTAAACATCAACTACTCTGGCACAGGGAGATTTTCCCAAGTAAATTTAACAAAACAAAGACCCAGACCCAAGAGCCTGATAGAACAAAGGTTAGGAATTTCAAACAGAAATTTTGTATCAGAGCAGGAGCTAGTAGATTACTCAATGTCTCAACAAGACAGTGACCCAAACTCAGGAAATCACCCAAGGGGCCAAAAGACCTAAAGCTAAGAGTTTCTCATTAAATATTACAAATTTAAAACCTGATCCATCGTTCGCTCCCCAGACGTGACCTGATTTCAGTCTGTTGAAAGTGTATTCCTTTCCAAATAAACTTTATACTTACTTTTACTATAATCTTTGCATCTTGCTTGCATTCAGAATCAAGGTAATTATCAATGCTATTTTTTCTGGTAACAATATTGCACACAATATTTAAAATGAAGAACCACGAGAACACATTTAAATTAATACCATGTGTTTACTGAACTATCCTTACTAAGTTATATCTAAAAAAAACCCCTTCACTTATATAAGTAACACAGAATAAAACAGTAGCTATAAACACAGAAGATCTATACCAATGGCAATCGCACTACAAAAAGAAGTCTCCATTTTTATTAAGCTACCTATAAATCCAACATGGAAGTGAAACAGGCTAGATAGATGAAGAGAGAATTAAGTTATATTATTTTAATAAATATTTAAAAGGCCAGACTCAGACATTTCCCAGAATGAGGAAGTAAAAACTAAAAAGCCAGAGCAGCTAGCCCCCTTCCATCTTCTTTTAGATCCTAAGTTATAAGAACAGGGAGACTATCTGCGTCTACCTTCCTTTTTGAGATTTTAACAAACTGCAAGGCTCCTTGAATGGAGAGAGATTGGCAAATCTGTTAAAGTGAAGAGTTAAAACCCAACTTTTGGCCCTGTGTATGAGGCAGAACTAGATAATATTGCTATATTTTAAAATAATAAACAATATCCATCTTGGGCACTAGAACCATCATTCAATGATTCATTGAATGATTAGGGTTGCTAGACTTCACTTGATGTCTATTTCCCCATCTCAGAGCTTAAAGAACCAAGGAATGGACTCCCATTTTCTAGCTTGTCCCCGAACCCTGCACTTCTAGCAGGAGGTGTCTTTCCTTTCCTTAAACTTCTGTCTTCTTTATCCTGTTATAGTAAAATAAATCCCTGCTAAAACTTCCACCTTGTGGGACTCCTTGTCATGAGACCTCTTGAAATGCTTTCTACCATTGTGGATCTCAAAGACCTGTGATTTTGCATGGAAACTGGGAAGTTGTACCATTTGCCCCCCTCAGGTACCAGAAGTACTAATAGTATTTTCTTTGCTGCTAAATTTTACAGATCTCAAGTGACAAACACCAACGACAAGGCACACATGTAACAGGGTGCCTTCCATTTTTCTCCTTCTTCCTCATCTACCATCCAACTTCTCTAGATGATAACAGCTACATTCCCCAGCACCCTTTGCTGCTGCATGGTATCTGATGGGCTTGTAGGCAATGGGTTACAAGTAGAAGTGATATAAGTAACTTCTGCGCAAATTTAAGAAGAAAGGAGCTGTCTTCTCTCAACCATTTCTGTTTGCAGGAAGGCGGACATGGTAACTACCCACAGACCAACAGCAGAGGTCACGCATCAAAGAGGGCTCACACTGTTAAACAAGAGAGAATGAAATGCATCCTGTGTATTGTTTCAAGCCTCTATTGTTTTCTCAAAGCAGTGAAGCCTATATCCTAAACAATACCAAATTCCTATTTTACCATTTCCTCCTCCAAACTCAGTGGGAAAGGGTAGATAAAGTAAGTGAGGGAAGTTTAATTACAATATAGAACAAGGTTAATGAATGAAAGCGTGTAGGGTTGTGAGGCTGTCCAAATAACAGTTATATGGTAACAGAAAGGTTACAAATTCCCAAATTGACAATCAAGAGTGTCAAATAAATATTTCCTAGAGGATAAACCTACTTGTCTTCTTCTACAGACTGAAGTTTTTTTTGACAAGATGAAACTTTCTTGTATGTATTTCATACAAAATACTGAAATACAGCAGAACTGTATTCTTCACATGACTAAGCCAAAATGTCAAAAGATTCACTTCTCAACAGAAAATACACAACATAAGTATGAAAGGACTGTACACTGTCCACATTGCATTCACACAGTGCAGTCAGACAAAGATCACTGTACTGAGAACGGTGTATAAGTCTAGCAAGTAACTCATGAAAGGGCACCTAATGGAATAAAATAAACAAAAAACCTGAAATGTTATTAATTCATTCATATGGAGAGTACTTCTTATGGTTAGACTCACTCTGAGCTCGAAACCTTTTGATCATCACAAATCTCAATAATACTTTGCTTCTAAGGCAGTTAATTTGTTTGTATTTCACTGTATTGGTTATTTCTTTGGCTCTATTTCTTTAGTATAGATATTCTTTGTAGAAAAATTCATAGCGATACATGTAATTGTATTAGAAATACTACTGTAATATTGGAAAAATTTTCATGTTTCAGTTATATAGAACACTCACTGATGATGCAGTCTAAAGTTATGTGATAACATCACCAATATTTCAGACCAAATGCCTATTTAACTTTTCCACTTATTTTGAACCAAGCACTTTTAACGTGTAGGTTGACAGTCATGTGAACTGCTACAGACCCAACTTTGCTAGTACTAGTAGAATACTTTCCAGGCACTTGCTCTATTTCTTTGCATTAAATTCCCAGTATAAATGTAAAGTTGAAAAGTAAATCCAAAGTCAGGTAGAGTACCTCTAGAAATGAAAACTAGGGTATATGTCAGATCTCTTCTCCTTCCTATTCTTGATGTACACAATGATTATTGTACTTAAATGAAAATGATGTAGAGAAACACTAATGGCCATGGGACTCACAAGCTTCTGAAAGGAGGGAAGTTTAATACTGACATTTGGAAGCTAGAAGACAGTGCAGATTTATCTCCCTCTTGATAACTTTTCATCTAAAATAGAGGTAGGGATACAGCTTGCCTTTGACTTGGTACCAATTTTCTATTAATATATGGCATTCTGATAAGACCAGTGTGTGATCACTTAAAGGGATGGGGAAGTGTTCATCGCTATGCAGATCTATCACTCAGATATTCATATGAGAGAGTATGTAATGCAGCAGAGAAAAACTTTAGAAGAGACACATGGACTTGTATTAAAAATGAGTAACAATTCATATGCGCATAACACATAACATATTCAGCTTGTACCTCACAACTGTACAAAGTAAAAATCAGATATGAGCATTAATACAAAGTTTATGAGATGAAGATAAATTAGCTGCTTGTTCTCTCTGGTGTCTCGATATTCAGTAAGTGGAAGAGAAAAAGTCAATATCCATTTCTGTTCTTGGACCTTCAGAACTATGACTGAACATCTTTAAATTCAACCAAACACACAAAAAAGAAAAACCTTCCTAAAAGGTTTTGTTAACTTCAAAAAACAGAGAGAGAACCAACAGCCAACTCGATCCTTCAAGGTAGTTAATTATATTGTCATAGAAAGAAAACACAGCATCTGCATGCATTCCCCTTCCACAGCTGTCTGCTGGAGACAAGGGTATGGAGACGGACAGGAAAGATAAAAGGCTGCCCTGCCAGAGTCTGTCCATAACGAAGAGCAAAACTACTTACATAACCAAAATTTAGTTCTTGAGTCTATCATTATTGTCTCTTACCCTCTGGAAAAATACAATTCCCATTCAGGAAACGTCTGAAAACAGTCATTCTTTTAGATAGTGTCAGCAATTTTAAAATAAATTATAAGTGAGAGTTTTAGTTTTAAGATACTCACCTATTCCAATGAAAGCAGCTTTGTAACCATTTTCTTTCAAAGTGCTAAGAGTCATGTCATCTGCTGAAAGGCTTTTCCCACAACTTATCTAGGAGAAACAATATTTTGAGTAACGGCATTTTAGCATTTGCTAAATTAAAATCATAATATTTAAAGTCAAAACTCTGTCTGTAACATTACTTAAATAATATGTGGATACTTTTCCCTCTTTTTAGTGTATAGACCTGCATAAAGACAACAGTACATAAATATAGTACTGAAATGATTTTTTAAGAGCTAAGTATAGAAGAAAGACCACTGTAATTAAAATCAAGTCAGTAAATTTTTGTCACTTATTTAATGTATCCAAAGCACTATGCCAGGAACTTTACCCAAGAAAATGATAAATGAGACACAGTATTCCTGCTTTCATATAGTCAAGTAAGGACAGAAGATCTACACAAATAAATATAATATAAAACTTTATGATCACCACATGTATATGGAAGTTCAGAGGATGGAGTGATTCTAGCCAAGGTTGTATGGATGAGAATGCAGAGAGGAAATGGGGATAGGATTTCAAAAGGAGAACTGTCCAGGGAAGACAGACAAAGTTGCAGATAGAGTGTAGTCACCTCCACTAAAGATCACAATGCTTTGGTCAATCTGACAAGTTATTTCAGATCTGGAACCTGGTTCCTGAGAAGGAAGTAGGGGACCCTATAATGTCCTGGGAGGTAAATACTGTAGTGATTATCCTAGTCCCCCAAAAGGGTTATGGTCATTTACTCAGGCAACCATGCATTGAGAAAGAGTACTAGGCAGACATTTCAAGGACTATTGTACCAGGCCCTTCACTGACCCTGATACCTAGAGATACAAGAATGGAAAGCCATGGGAGAGGTAAAGATGGGCTGCTGCAGTGGCTCAAGTGGTAGAGTGCCTGCCTAGTAAGTTTGAGACCCTGAGTTCAAAACTCCAGTACTGCAATAATAATGATAATAATAGTAATAATAATAATGGAGGCTGACTAAAGTCTGGTTCACAGTGGCCCCCAAGACCACCTACCCTGTCAGTGGGCATTCTTCTAGCCTCCAACCACACAACTGAAATTGCTGTATTTGCCGAGTGAATTAATACCAAGCAGCACCTTTGGTCTATGTAGCAAGAGCTACAGTAGCTATCGCAGCTGGGAAGGCTGCACAGAAACATATGAAAACTGAGCAAGAGAGTAACTCAGATACAGCATCAGTGGGTGTGGATGGGATGCAGAAAGATGGTAATGCACCAACCAGTTTGGCCTCTTAGAGAGACATGGTTTCTACAGGATGCAGGCTTATGTAAAAAGAAGCCCTGAGAGCAGTTTCTGTGACAGCTATGCTTTTATTGCTAGAACAGATTGATAAGGTCAGGGAACACTGCATGAGGCCATTGATTTTGTGAAGGTACACATTGTCCACTACAATTAGAAAGTGTATCGGAAACAGTTCACACTCAGGGAATACAGAGAGAAATATTCATATTCAGTTGGCCTTGGGGATATGCCTTCAGCAAAAATATATATATATTGTCTGAAATGATCTGGACTTTCCACAGAAACTCGTAACACCCCACTATGTTGACAGCATCATGGGAACTGGACACCATGAGCAGAAGGTGGTGAGTGGGAGGGAGACTTTAAGACATATGAACTCCAGAAAGTGGAAGATGAACCTACAATCAGGGGCTGGCTCCTGAGTGAACTTTAGAGAGCCAGTTGTCAGGTATCAAGACACATATCCTATCTAAAGCAAAAGACAGCTGGATCCTGTGCTCCCTTCTACAAAGAAAGAAACACAATGCCTGATAAGTTTCTTGGGATTCTTCAGAAAGGCAGAAAGTAACACGTTTCTAAAACCTAAAGTATCTACACTGAGTTAGAAGAGCCTTCGCCAATGCAACAGAGATGACAGCAGCTACCATGCACAGAGGACTTGCAAAACTGCAGGGCTCTCTTCTGAGTACTGCAAATACTAACTTCATCCTTATGACGGCCTCATGTGATGGCCCCAGGACCCCCATTTTACAGATGATAACAGTAAAGGCTGGGAGACCTTGGACAACTTTTATTGAGAGCATGAGTGTAGTCTAATTTCAGAAGCAGCCTGCTCTACATCCATGCTCTTACATGTCTTGAGGTGGGATGAAGGAGTGAGCTGGTCAATCCTCAAAGGAAAGAACAACATACTGTATGTAAAGAACTTCTAAAGATGTAAATCAAAGAGTGGAGAGTGAATTGTGGGGAGAAGATGCCTTCCAGTAGATCAGGGAGGGCCATTTTTTATCTTCTTAAAAGATCAATTCTATTTTTTTATATTAACAGGGTAGCTGTTTGGAAGTTTATAATAAATGGACAATGAAGGTGAGATTACTGATATTCCAAACTCGGGACAATATCAAGTACCATAAAGTGAACCAATAATTAAACATACTATTAAAAGCATTTAGGGTATCTAAGAGTGAATGTTACAATTAGAATTAGCAGGATAAGATCCTATCAGAAGTATCTAATAGTGAGGTTGCATATATTGATTGTAAAAAAGGGTTCATCATGACATTTCCATTTCCATACATGCATATAATATAATTTGATCAAACTTACTCACTCTATTACTCTCTCTTATCTTCCCTCTTCTATCCCCCCTTTTATTTTAGTTTCTTATTAAAATTCATTATGCTATTTTCATTTATACCTTAATAGATTTTTTATTTAAAAAGGTGGATAATTCCATTGCTTATTTTATGAATAAAATAACCTTATGCTAACATATAGTAAGTGTTAGATGTGAAAGAATATAACAGGTTCATATATTCTAAATAAGTCATAAGCAAATTGAAAAAGAATGCAATTTCCAAAATTGAGCTGGTAAATGCCCTACCAGTGGGCTAAATAGTGAAAATGATCTTCAGAAACTTGATCTTAGTTTTAGGTCACCACCACCTCAGCAAATTGATCAAACAGAAACCTGCCATTCCTTCTGAATGTGCCGTAGAGCTTAGTGTAGTAGTGGGCTTGCATTACGTATCAAATGGTGAAGGCATTCCAGCACTTCCACCACAGTACAATAAGCATGCCTGTGAGTTTACCATATGCAGAGATGTGCAAACATTCTGTATTTCTACTATTTTAGTAGATGATCAGGGAAGGAAAAAGTTAAAATTTCCTTTTCTGTTGGGAAGAGTCTTAACAGTTGGTATTAATCTGGGGTGAAATCAAAGACTTGACCTTGACCTGTGGACAGGCCCTGTGGAGAAGATGAATGATAGTCACCATGGGGTGGAAATAAGAACAGAAAAGTGGTAATGATAGTCAATGGAGTGACAGACAGCTGGATGCTTCTCTCTACGTGATTGGGAGTCTATCCAAATTTCTCTTTCCTGCAAATTTCAATCCCTGAACATTTCCCATGGAGTAAATAAACCACTCTCAATCAGAAAGAACCAGAGGAAAGATTCTTTGATGAAAGAGTTAGTTAGCTTACATTATGCTTAGGAAGTTGAGCTGACATTTGTAAAACTTAACTAAAACTAGTAGAAGAAGACAATCCCTGAGAAAGATGCATGTCATTGTTCTCTCATATGCAAAATCTAGTCCTAAAAAAATAAATGACAGGAATGTAAAACAGGTTCTATTTGGGAATGGGAACAAGTAGAAGGTGGGAGGGTAAAAGGAGAGGATGAATGAGATGGGGTGAATATGGCTGAAGTACTTTATACACATGAATGAAAACAGAACAATGAAACCTGTTGAAATTGTTTTAAGATGGGAAGAGGATGAGGGACTGATGGATGGGTTGATTTGACCCAGGTACATTGTAGGCATGACTGAAAATATCACAATGAAACGTCTTTCTACAAATAAATGTTAATCAAAATATTTTTTAAAACATAATGACTGATATCAAAAACTTTCTACTAGCTGATACTCTATGAAATCTCAATATTATATGTTAAGTAGACCTGATGCTAGAGAAATGTTCACCTGGTGATCACTTTGTATTTTTGCTCCTTCATTCCTTGTTACTTTGAAATATGTGGCATTTTCCATCTTGTTTACCTTAGTGGATTACTGTACACATACTGCCTCCTTTTATTGTTAGTAATATATAATTAGATACTTCCCAGCTGTATTGAGAATAAAAATTCACTCCATTTCAAGTTCAGTGTAATGGTTACTACTCTGACCCAATATCAGTTCTAAATATCACACACACTAAGCCAAATTTCCAGACACTAACCACTTTGAGATTTGACTAATATTTTATTTACAAATATATAGCATGTATCCACATATGTAATAAGACTTATCATTGCACAGTAGAGATATAAACTTTTTGGAGTGGTACTCTAACTGAAATGAAATATTTGATGTCAACTATAAAAATACACGTAATGAGGTACATGATCTTAACTTTGGCTTAATAGACCAAGTATCTCCAGAAATTCATGGATAGAAAATAAAAGGATTTTTAAAGATAGTACTTAGCTTTGTTAGATAAAACTATTTCGCTTGGTAATAATGCACATTTCTCTCCTTCTGGTAGGTGATGATATCATTTTTACATTTATTTTCCAATACTATTCAATGTTAATAGAAATTCTTGCTTCAGATAACCATAGGGGAAAACAACATGATAAACAGAAGTTATTAAGAAAAAAAGACTATATTAGATGTTTTTCTAAAATTATGAAGAAGAAATGCATTGTCATCACAAAAGAAGTTTAATCAAAACAGAGTTCTGTCAAAATATTTTAGGAAATGGAAAATATATATATTTTATCATTTATAGAAAAATGCAAGGTCTTACATGTTTATTTTACAATTTTAATATTAGAAATGGAAACATCACAAAAACTATGAAAAAATTCACATCCAACTAAATAGTGAATTGCATGACATAAAAGATCATTTAGCCTCAATGATCACTAACACTGCTGGGTACAAATATCATAGGAGAGTCTATTAAAATCTGTCTTGGGTTGAAAATAATTTACTGAAATTTTACATTGATGTTAAGAGTTATTATGCAAACAACTTAGAAGCTACTTGTCCTGAAGAAGAAGTAATTCTACTACATTAGATGACATTTTGATGTGAAATCAATTGAAAGTTTATCTGGTAAATTAAAACCTGTACATACTATAAAGTAAAGTTAAAAAAGAAAAATCTGAATAGTGTCACTGGAATGGATACCACCAGTATCACTATTACAGAAGCAAACAAAAGAATTGTCCTATACAACTGTTATCCAAATGGGAAAAACAAAATCACAATTACTCAGGAAAATAACCATATTAAAATAATGAAAACATATGGAGGTTGACAAAGATTTAATTCGGGACAAGTTAATAACCTTAAATGTCTCCATTATTCAATCTATAAAAATGAAAGTTAGTAAGTGTAAAACTCAGGAGGTTTAAAAATAAATGGGGAGAATTAATAAAACTCCAGTCAGCAATTAGTGAATCAGAAAACATCAAGCTTTGAGAACAAGTTCTTTTGGAGAACACATTAGCTACAGAAATTGCTACCTTGTCTTTCTGAGAAACAGTTAATAAGATGCAAGATAAGTCTAGAGATGCGAAGGCAATTACAGCCATAAGTATAGATGAGATATTTCGTGTACTAGAATATCATGTTTAAGTCTATGCTAATAAATTCAAAAGACTTAATGAAACAAATTTGTCTATGAAAATAAACATTGTCAAAATTGACACTGCAATAAAAGATATGCAAAATATCAATAACCTTGAAGACATTTTTGAAAATGGTTAAATTCTCTCTTATAAACAGGTTTTGAGGTCAGAATCACAAAATTTTCCAACTTGCTGAAAAGGACAAGTCTCAAGACAATATTCTTATCAATGATAAAATAATTAAATGCTTGAATGTTTATTGTTATAATGATAACATAACTCTTTCACCCAAAATTCACAGTGCAATGAAAATAAACAAATCAACCACAACAAAGCAAAAATGTGCTTTGTAGATTTTAAACTGCACAAGGGCAACAAAAGTGTTTGACTATTCTCTGTAACGTGACTATTCTCATATTCTTTGCATAACTAAGGGAAGGCAAAAGAAAACTTTGAAAAACAACAAAATAAATATAATTCTACAAATCCAGAAATAATGATTTATGATAGAAAGGGGAAAAGGGGGATATATTCCTGAAGTGCAAAGATTAATATAATTCAACATACAAACTGAATATAAGTTTATAACAAAGACAGTTGAAAAATTTAAAGCATTTTCTTTATAAAATTTTTCAAGTTAATAAAACCTTGGTAAACTACAACAAGAAAAGTATTCAATATGATTAAGATGTTCAGAGACAAGAAAATGATTCCACAGGCTAAATTCTTTCACCCTCTAGAGATGCCAGACATCGAAATAGTGAAAGAAAAAAATATATACAATGTACAAATAACATATAAAATTCTCATGAATTTTTGGTGACATGACATTTGACTTGAAAAAGAATTAACTGACTCTAAGATATGAGACAAACTGAAATTACTCAACAGGAAAATTTGCTCAAGGAGATGACTGGGAGTAAGAGGAAAAATTGAACTCTGCTCTAGATGTGATTGATTTATATTACTTAAATATAGTATGACTGATAAGCTGCTAAGAATACAGGACTGCAGTTTGAGAGAAGTTGGTTCTAGATGGTCTCATCTTTGGTACACTACTTATTAAAAGTAAAAGGACTTGGGTCACATGACAAGGGGAGAGCACATATGGGAAATATAGGATAGGTAGAAAACCCAAAATATGAAAGTGTTTGATGTCTCCACTCCAGAGGAACTAATACAGAAACCTTAGAGCGACAGAGGTTATCATGAGCAGGGGATCAGGAACCAGTGTAAAGATCAGTTAGAGATGAATCAACATGGGTTGTAACACATTTGTACATGGAAGCAATGCTAGGAATCTGTCTGTATAGCTATCCTTAAATCAACTAGCAAAAACGCTTTGTCTTCCTAAAATTATGCTTATGTGTTCTCTTCAACAAAATTAGAGATAAGGCCAGAACAGGTTCTGCCTGGAAGCGAGGGGGGTTGGGGAGGAGAAAGAGGGGGCAGGGAGGGCAGGGTGGAGAAATGACCCAAATAATGTATGCACATGTGAATAAATGAATAAAAAAAAAGAACCCCTGGCCAGGCACCATTTACTCACATCTGTACTGCTAGCTGCTTAGGAGGCTGATATCAGGAGGATCATGATTCCAGAGCAGCCCAGGTAAGAAGTTTGGGATAACCTATGTCTACCAGGCTGGGTGCAGTAGTGTGCACCTGTCATCCCAGCTATGTGGGAAGCTAAAATTGCAGGCAAAGGGATTGTGATTCAGGACAGCCCAAGCAAAAAAAAAGACCTCATCTCAAAAGCTGTGTGTAGTGGTACATGCCTATCATTCCACCTGTGACAGGAAGCCTAAAATAGGAGGACTGTGGTCCAGGATGGCCTGGGCAAGAACAAGACCCTATCTCCAAAATAACCAGACAAAAAAGGTAGATGTATGCCTGAAGTGGTAGAGTGGCTGCCTAGCAAGAATGAAGCCATGAGTTCGAACCCTAGTACTACCAAAAAATCAAAAAGTAAATTCTGAATAAATATTTGTTGAATAAATAAAACAAACTTAATAGAAAGTATAAGAAAAATCATCAAGACAATGCTAGATGATGAAAATCAGACAGATGATAGATACATAGATGATAGATAGAAGATAGATAATAGATGACAGATGATAGATAGGTGACAGACAGAGCTAGATAGACACCCATATATGAAAGAATTTGTACATCAAAAGCTGCATAGGAGTCACACAAACTGCATGAACCCAGAGAAAAGTTGACTTTGTCGCCAGGAAATGATAGTTGATGTTAAAACATAAAAATGTTGCTGAGAAAAGAGAAGACAGCAGATGATAAGAATTTGTTGATGAGGAAAAGCAGGTAACGTGTGCTGACCATCCTCGGGTTGAAGTCACTAAGTCCTTGGAGCTGCAAGAGCATTCCATCAATCTATGCGAGTCTTCAAACAAAGGGAAAGATTGCTGTTTCCCCTCAGAACTGTCCATAAATCTCAGAGCTTACAAAGCAGTTCTGAGCACTAATCCCTCTTCAAGTCTTAAGACATGTGAAAAGTGGACAAAAGTATATTACAAACATCCAAGTTTTTTCTCAATGATGTAATGAATCCATAGGTTTTAAAATTTAAATGCCCACAATAGTGATAAGTTCTTTCCATAAATGTCCCAAACAATCTGCATCATTTGATACTTAAATATGTCCAGAGACAACTGAGCTCATGTAGGAACAGGTATGCTTATGTATTTTTCACTGGGTAGTAGCATTTTTTGGGTGGTATTGGAGTTTGAACTCAGGGCCTTGTGATAGCTAGGCAAGAACTCTTTCACGTGAGCCACCCCCACATCTTTCTGCTTGAATTTGTTTTTCAGGTAGGGTCTTGTGCTCCATGCCCAGGGCCAGCCAGACTGTAAGATCCTCTTTCCATCTCTTGCATAGCTAGGATTTAAGATGTGTGCCACCAGTCTGACTTATTTTTTTGAGATATGGTCTCAGTACATTTTTTTTGCCCAAACTTGCCTCAAACCAGGATCCTCTGATCTCTGCCTCCTACAGGCATGCACCACTGTACCCAGCCAGAAGTAACAAATTCTGTGAATAGCTGTTGACTAAGGTGAAAGATACTATGTCAAAGCTGTCTAACTATGAAATTTAAAAGTAGCATGACTGTAGCTGAAATATACACTTTCCACACTCAGTACTTTGTGCTACTCTGTTTTGACAAGTTTTCAGATACTTGTAATGAGTGTTTTCTAATTTATGAAATATATATGGTCTTGTGGAAACTGAATACAATTTTTGCAATTACTTAAAAACTAAATTTGTCAATGTCTCAATTTCTGAATCATCTTCAAATGGTAGTTACACCAAGTATGAGTTTGAAATTTCAACAAATATTTCCTTATTTAATGAGAATTAGGTAAGAGCACAAATTCAAAAATGAAAGATATTTAAAGAACTTTCTAGAACATAATTTGTAAATAGCCATCACTATAATTTTTAATGCTGAGTTTTCATAAACTGTGCACATCACACTGTGTTTTTGCTATCAGACTTTTTGGTCAGTAATTACATGTGAAAGTTTCATTACTTAGCCACTGTCAAATAAAATGTAAATATAAATGTAAAAGCAGAAAATATTGTTTTAAGTGTTTCTTCTTTGTTGATATTTTAACTTTTACTCATAAAAGCAATACCCAGGAGAAGTTTACTTATTACTTTGCAAAATGTCTTCTGCCTGTGCTTACAGAATATATTATGCAAAACATGGAATATTATTAATCCATTGTGTCACATGGAAAATTAACATTTTTGAAACAAAACCCATAATATATTCAAGTGGAGAGCAACAGTATAATACTCTTATTTAGTGTAAAAAGGGAGACATTTAAAGTTATATTCTTAAAGCACAATGGGTCTACTTTTCCAGTCTTTCAAAGAACAACACGGTTTTTCATAAAACTATTAAAAAATACAAAACTATTGCTTTCTACCCCATTGATTTACTGCTCATGTTGAAGAAGGATTTTCACATTTACAATACCGACATGTTGCATATAATAAATAACATCAGATTCTTCAAGAAATTATGTAAAATTGTGAAATACCAGTGTTTCAGAGGACAACTTGCGGGAAAGAGTGTGATTAAAGAGACCAGCCTTGTGTGAGCTGCAGGAGCCCCTACAGCAACTCAGGAATTTGCTTCTCCGAGACAATTAATCACATGCAGGCTGCAGATGAGAACTATCGATTGCCCTTTTCCAGGCTGGTGGCATTCCGACAGCAGACAGACAAACGCCCTGAGCAAGGAGAGCATCGCTCTGCTTCTGCCTGGTGCAGATTTTAATTGTTCTTTCTGAAAACGCACAGTGTTTGCTGTGGTTACTCTTTCCTGTAGACCTTACTGCTTTCTGTTGAAAAATGCACACAGTGCTATGTTTTCACTCACCTTTACACCAAGGTCCTTCATAAGCTCAATCTCAAAATTCACCACATCGTATGGCAGCCGGAACTGAGGGATTTCAGAAGTACTGATAAAAGAGAAGAGGAAGAAGCATGAGCTGAAATATTACCAACCTGAAGAAAATGCAACATGTCCTTATTGATCAGGATTAAAGGAATAGGTATCGCTTCTGGTGGCATTTACATGTACTATAATGTGAGTTATTAGTATATCCATTTTTATTACCATGGCAAAATGTTACATGGACTAAAGCTAAAGTAGAAACTGATGTAAAAAATAATAAATTATATATAATGAGAAACAATAAGTATAAAATTGATCAAATGCAATTCTAAACTTTTGAATTTAATATTTAGTTGATTCATTTACTAAATAAACAATTCTATGAATTATTATTTCATGGAATTATGCACATAGAAATTCATGGAATTATTCAAAGTTCAAAAGATTATTTGAAACTTTTAGTAATTCCATAAAATTCTACAAACATAAATCTACTGAAATAATTCCATGAATATCTATGACAATAAAATATTAAAAAGGAAAGATTAATTCTATTTATAGTGTAATATGCACATATCACATGCAGATGCATATTCTAAAATAGATCTGTACCTTGTTGACATTCAAATGTGTAACTTTGTATCACATGCTGTTCCTAATATTACAGCAAGGATTCCATGTGATCTAAAGAACAGTTAACCATTGCTCTTCTGCGAAAGCAGTAAGTGTCCAGAAGGATACTACCATGAAAAGAGAATTCCCGTGTAGTATCAGTGCTCTTTGTCTGCACTGCAAAAGATCTCAGGGGGCCTACTGTACCATGATCTCAGCAGTATAATACTTCACACTTCCAAAAGTGTGAAGTAAACTCAAATAACTTCACACTTTTACAGCGACAAAAAGGCTCTGTGTTTCCATGAATATATAGCAATCCATTCATTCATTCATCTGTTCCTTCAACAGACAATTACAAATTGCCAAGCTCACTGTTAAGCTGCAGTCATATGACGGTGAATTTCACCAAATTCTAACTTTTAATAAATTATCTTTCTGGTGAGAAAAGATACATAAGCAGATAACTATGATAGAATGTGATCCAATGAAATGTAGATCTATAAATGTATATATATATATACATATTCATTTATCCATATATGTAAATATATATGGATTATAGCTATTAGTTTTGAAATAAGTGACTGTAGAAGATGAACCATTTAGGTCTTCCAAAGCAAAGGCTTTCAAAGTGCACATGTACCCTTTTCATTCTATGGTGACATTAGAACTTGATAATTAAATTAGTTTCCATACATCAAACAGTCGGTAAGGCGACAAGCTCAATGCTGTGGAAAATGCCAAGTATTAAACGGTATGAAATGAAAGCCCCATACTAAATCAGTCTCCTGTCTACTTAGGAAGATAAGATTATATGCAAGAATGAATTTGAAGCTATGTCCAAGAGGAAGCATTCAAACCTTGAACTCCGGCAATGTTCTCTCTTAGTTTCTTAGCATGCCCTGGACGCCACAGAAGTTTTGCCTTCAAACATCAAGAAGAATGAGTCTCAACTAATACAGGTTGGGTATAGATGCAAAAAACACCCGGCATTGACAGTTATGAGGTTTTGTGGAAGACTTCAACTTTTTTTTTTTTGGTTGTACTAGAGTTTGAACTCAGGACCTTGCGCTTGCTAGGTAAGCACTCTTCCACTTAAGTCACAACTCAGTGCGGGAGATGGATTTTAAAGTTACTAAAATTGGGGTCTGATGAGGTCCCTCTAAAGGCTGGACAGGAAATCCAAACAAGAAAAGAATGTGGGACAAAAATAAAGAATTCAAGTCAAGTAAACCGACTAAAGCAAAGAGAAATACACCCAGATACATTGTGAAGCTGAGCACATTCTTAGAGCTAAATTCCACTCTGGGATTTTTATGGGATCAAGAAAAAATGTGCTGGTACAGGACAATGACTCTGCTTTGACACTTTTTCAAAATACTTTTATAGAGATGAAGTTCACAACATTTAAAGGGCATAATCCAGTGGATTTTAGGATATTCACGGAGTTACACAACCGTCACCACTATTTTAGAACATTTTCATCATCCCAAAAAAGAAAAGACACACCACAACCACTGGTTTCTCTCCCTCCACAGCCCATCATCTCTACCTACCTGACCCCAAACAATCACCTGTCTAGTTTCTGCCTCTATTTACCTATCATGGACAATTTTCTCACTACTCTTATCTACGCATAATTAGGTATCTTTGACCATCATTTGCCCATCTCCTGCTCCTTCAAGCTACCCAAGGTTCTGGTAGCCACCAGTCTACTTTCTCCTGTCATGAGATCAGCCTCTTCATCATCATCATTCCAGAGATGATGAGGTCATGCAGGATTTGACTTTTCATGCATGGCATATTTCACTTCACATTCCACAGGTTCACCTGTGCTGTCACAGATGACAGAGCTTTATTCTTTTCATAGCTTAACAGCACTCCATTGAGTGCATTTACTGCATTTTCTTTACCTATTCATTTGTTGATGTGCACAGACTGACTCCATGCCTCTGCTACTGGGAACAGCGCTACAAAAAGCACAGAGGTGACGACTACACCTATGGGACTGCTGGGTGACATGCCTGGTCTATTAAGAACTTTTAAAGAAATCTCCATGTTCATTTCCATAATGGCTGTACTGATTTACATTCTTCCAAGTGTCTACAAGCTCCTTCTCTACATCCTCAACACTTTTGATCTTTCTGACGATGTCATTCTCACAAGTAGGAGATGATTTCTCGATGGTATTTTGATTTGTTTTACTTCTCTGATGAGTCATTTCTTATACCTATGGACCATTTGTATGTCTTCATTTAAGAAACAGATATTCTGGGCTTCTGTCAATTTTTATAATAAAGTTACTTGATTTCTTCCTGCTGTGAGTCCCTCACACATGTTTGGATATGAACACCTTATCGAATACAGAATTAGAAAATATTTTCTCCCATCGCCCATGTTTTTCCCCAATTCAGTTGGTTGTTTCACTGCTATGCAGAATCTTTTTATTCATTTATTTATTCAGTCAATTTTTGGTTTTTTTACCTCTGCTTTTGAGGTTATTTGTAAGAAATCATTGCCCAGACCAAAGCCATGAGGTTTTTCTCTATCTTCTATTTATTTATTTCATAAATTCAGACTTACATTTAAGTCCTTAATCCATTTTGTGTTGATTTGAGATACAGATCTAGTTTCATTCTTCTGTGTGTGGATATTCAATCTCCCCAGCAGAACTGACAGAAAAGATTAGCTTTTCCTCACTCTGTGTTCTTGGCACCTTTTCAGGAAGATCAGTTAGCTTTATTTCTGAACTCTGTTCCACTCCATTGGCTGATGTGTCCATTTTTATGTCAACATCATGCTATTTTGGTTATGATAGCTTTGCACTATATTTCAAAGTCATGTAATGTGAGGCCCCCAAGTTTATTCTTTTTGTTCAAGATTGCCTTGGAAGTTCAGGCTCATTTGAAGTTCCATATGAATATTAGAATCATTTTTTCTGTTTCTGTGGAGACATCTGGGATTTGGGTAGGGATTACATCAAATCTGTTAGATTGCTTTGAGTAGAATAGGTATTTCAACATTTATTCTCCCAATCCATGAGTACAGGATATCTTTTCTCTTTTTGTGTGTCCCCTTCAGATTCTATTTGAATATTTTATAGTTTTAATTGCAGAGATCTCTCATTTGCTGGCTAAATTATTCCTAGGTACTTTTTGTAGCTATTATAAATGGATTGCATTCTCATTATCTTTTTTTCAGAGAGTTGGTGGTGAGTGTGTAGAAATGGTACTGAATTATGTGTGATTTTGTATCCTGCTGCTTTACTAAACTTGATTACTAGATTCAAGTTTTTTTGTTGTTGTCTTTAGGGTTTTCTATTGTAAGATACAGTCATCTGCAGTCAAGGACAACAAAGAAAACCTTTCCTCCATTCCAATTTGGATCTTCTCTTATCTACCTGCTCTGGTTGGCAGCAGTACTATGTTGAATAGATGTGCAAAAACTGGGTGTGCTTCCTTTTTCCAGGTCTCAGGGAAAAAGCCTCAACCATTTCACATTCAATATGATGTTCACAGTGGGTTTATCATATACAACCTTTATTGAGTATAGGTACATTCCTCATATAGCTAATTTATTCAGATTTGTATAATGATGGGACATTGAATATTGTCAATTTTTTTATCTACTGAAATTATCATATAGCTTTTGTCTTTTATTCTGTTAACACGACATCTCATATTTACTGAATTGTATATGTTGTACCATCCTTGCATCTCTAGGATAAATCTCAATCACAGTGAATGATCTTTTTAATGTGCTGTTGAACTTAATAACAAGTTATCAGGATCTATAGTTATCAGGATATTGATTAACTTACAGTTTTCTTTTTGCTGTGTCATTTTCTGCTTTTGCTAGCAAGGTAATGATAGCCTTGTGCAATGAATTTGAAAGTGCTCAGTCCTCATTAATTTTTTTGTATAGTCTCCTCAGTTTTTTTTAGTATTGGGGAAAATTAGCAATGAAGCTATCAGGTCCTGAACTTCTCTTTGAGGAGAAACATTTTTTACTGAATGAGTTTTCTTGTCTGTTCAGATTTTCTATTTCCTCCTGATTCAAACTTTGTAGGTTGTCTGTTTCTAGGAATTTTTCATTTCTTCTAGGTTATTCAATTGTTTTGTGTTTAATTGGTTATTTCAGTCTCTTGACTCATTGCATTTCTATGGTATCAGTTGTAATGTCTCCTCTTTCATCACTGATTTTATTTATTGAGCCTTCTTTTATCCTAGTCTAGCTAAAGTTTGTTGGTTTTGCTTATGTTTTCAACAAGTCAATGCTGTTTTATTAGTTTTTTGTATTCTTTTTTAGTTCCATTTCATTCACTTCTGTTTGATCTTTGCTATTTCTCTGCCGCTAATTTGGGGTTGAAATCTATCTCTTCAGTTCCTTGAACTGCAATGTCAGGATGTTTACACTTTTTTTTGATGTGCTCTTTATTACTATAATCTT